CCTCATACTAATTACGTGACAGAGAATTGGACCACAGGGGATGGGTATAGACTGGCAAGCAGCTCCAGCAAGCCCAAGTTCTCATATTGTGAAGAAAATATTGCGCTTGGATATTCCAGTTGATAGCTATCCAAATGTAAGCGAAGCATCTACTTTGGAACATAATATATATATATATATATATATATTTCAGTTTAAGGCTATAATGTACTAAATGCCTAATTTCTTGGTGGATTTTAGTTCAATTTTGTTGGACGGCTTCTAGGACCTAGGGGCAATTCATTAAAGCGAGTGGAAGCTTCTATGGGCTGCCGTGTGTATATTAGAGGAAAAGGTTCCATAAAGGACCCAGAGAAGGTACCATTTTTTCCCCTTCAGAATAAAGTTCAGCTTGGGATTGGCCTTTTCGATTCCCTTGGAGGCTTTCAAATTTTTTGTAGATCCCTTTTTATAGTCACATCCATCAAAAGTCTTCATTCAGTTATTGCTAAGCTTCCAAAACGTTCAGCATGATTTTCACTGTTTTAACAGTTTTTTCATTTTTTTTTTTTTTTACTCAAAAGGAAGAGTCTTTAAGGGGAAGACCAGGTTATGAGCATCTAAGTGAGCAGCTGCACATTCTAATTGAGGCTGAGTTACCTGCCAATATTATCGATACAAGACTGAGACAAGCACAGGAAATCATAGAAGAATTGCTCAAGCCTGTGGTATTTCTTTGAATCTTTTCCTTCTGCTGTATTTTCTGGCTTTTCTAGCAGTTTGTGGAATATTACTGTTATTTGATTCATTATATTTTCTTTCTGTCAACATGATGATCACACAGTTATAATTTGTAGACAGTTTGCTGTGCCTTTGTTGTTGTTTTCTTAATTAAGGTCAGCATATGATTAATGATGAGTGCATACATCAATTCTATTTTAGTAAGTGGTGCTGACCCTCAATGGAACAGTTATGCTATCAGTGTGAGATGACCAATAGAAGACAACCCTTGCAAAATTGTACTGCTATAGATGCACTCTTTTAAGGAATCCTGACTCCTCCTCTCCTGCTTTTGGTATTAATATTTCATGAATTCCACCAGCATACTTATGTATGGCAGGCTTGAGAATGCTAGCGTTTGAACATCATTGTCTTCGATGTCAAAAACATTTTGCTGTCCTACCAGACATTCACTTTCCCGTGTCATTCAAATTGCAGGATGAATCTCAGGATATCTACAAGAGGCAACAGTTGAGAGAACTAGCAATGCTGAATTTGAGCTATAGGGAGGAGAGCCCTGGTCCGAGTGGTAGCGTCTCTCCCTTCACATCAAGTGGGATGAAGCGTGTCAAAACTGGTCAATAACCCTTCATATGACCCAATCTCCCCACTGGTTTCTCTGGAAGACTTCATGTGCTTGTCAATTCTGTACAGCTACAAAGAAGTATGGTTTGCTGAGTTGGATATGAATTGAAACAGGTTATTCTTTGTTAACAAAAACATTAACAAGGGAAAGGAATAGAAATTCATTTTTCATAGTTGGTTAATGAAATTGTTTGCAGTTGTAAAAGTATAAATAGAACAGTGATTTACATTTGTTCTGTAATTAAAATCAGCATTTTTGCTAAACTAGTCTGTAATATAATGCCAATAGTGCAACTGCAACATCTGTTTTCTTTCTTATGGGGTGGAATGAAGGAAGGTCTAGTTTATTTTGCTTTCTTCCTTTTCTTTTTGGCTTTCTTTCATCAAGTTTGTGTATGCATAATGTATTGTAGGAACAATCGTTGACAAAATTATCTGAATGGTGGGTGTCCATGTCGCTTTGCATTAATTAGCAAATCCTTTTTCTTCCCGTCATGATTGGCTCTCCATAGCATTAGCAGCACCACTGTTGCTTGCCACCATCTCAACCTCCTTTAGTGGCCATAGAAGTGCAGCAAACACTAGAGCAATTTCATCCATTTGCAGAAGTGAGGGATGGGTCGGCCAGTCTACCTTAACTCTTTGTATGAAAGTAGCAGCAATGCTGATGGATTTGCAGCTACTTCTGTGTTTCTGAAGTAAATTGTTTGAGGTTTTGAGATCACCACTAATTTGAGGTCTAAATTGGATCATGTTTAACATGGGCCAATGGACCACAAACTTTACGGGCCGTCTTAAGAAAATAAACCCCGGCCCATATATCTCAATCACTTCAATAATCCTGGTCGATCCGATGATTTGATGAATAAAGAAGGGTGCCAGAGGAGAGGAGAGGAGAGCGTTGCGTAGCGGCAATTGGTTTTTCAGAAGCGCGGATTCGTCAACCTCATAAGCGGCAGAAAACAAAGATATGGGGAAGCAACCGGTGAAACTGAAGGCGGTGGTGTATGCTCTGTCACCGTTTCAGCAGAAGGTAATGCCTGGTCTCTGGAAAGATCTGCCCGGCAAGATCCACCATAAAGTCTCCGAGAACTGGATCAGCGCCACCCTCCTCCTCGCTCCTCTCGTCGGCGTCTACACGTAACCTCCTCTCCTCTATCTATTCATTCAATCTCAGTATCACTTAAATTAATTTGAAACCCTAAAAACCCCTAATTAACTCACTAACTAATTAAATCTATCTAAGAAACGAAAAGATCTCTCCTTTGCGTGAAATCGAGGAAAAGAAACTATTATAGCTTCATTTATGCTTTAGGTTTATTATTAAAATCCTTTCGTTTCTATGGCCAGATAGTTGTCCTGCTGATGTTGTTATCTGTGTTTCTTATTAGCTTTGCACAAATTCAAAACTCAAATCATTGTATGATTGACTGATGATAGTGTAAAGGAGTACTTGTCCATGTCCTTTAACCATGCTCCTCTTTCCTCCTCCTTTCCTTTTGTAAATCAGGAAACAAAAAAAGCATTTCTGACAGCGTTGTCAGGTTAAATCTTTTTTGCTTGTATGTTTCATTAACTGATCCTAGACAAAATCTCTCCTTTCTCAAGGGACTGCTAAAGAAAAGTAGTTCCATGTATTTTTGGCACCGTTTTTACTCGCATATTATTAATTAGGATATGGGTTTTTCGGTCTATCTATTTGCTAACTTTCATGTTGCAGAATTGAGCAATACGTGATCCATGTTTAACCTTTCTATTCTCGGGGTTCTGTTGTGTCTAAGTTGTTAATCTGGTTTCTGATGTGGTTTTTTTTTTTTTTCTTTTTCTCTGTGCTATTTGATGTTTATACCTTTTTTTAGACATAGTAGTGGTTCCCGTCATCCTCATTTTTGTGTTGTTGGTCCGTTGAATGGATGGAGAGAGAAATACAAAAGAAGGTCTATAGTCCTATGGTACTGGTTTTATACAATTGCACCTTAAATTAGCCAAAAAAAGTGGCACAAGGCTCAGGTCAGTGGGATGTTTTTGATGCCATAACCACATACTGAGCTGAACATGCAGTCTTGTATGAAATGTTCAGTGTTTTGTGCCTTTTCATTAACGCCTTTCTATGTTATTAGCTGCTGTTAGCTTGAGCTGACTGTGTTTCCCTGCATCGTTGTCTTGTAATCCATGCAGGTATGTGCAAAACTACCAGGAAAAGGAGAAGTTGGAACACAGGTACTGAGTTCAGGCATGCAGTAGGGATGTCTGCTTTTTCCTCGAAGGCTTCATATTTTTTTCTTGTTCTCCTGGCAAATAAACTGAATGTCACTAGCTGCATTGTCAGTTTTCAGAACTTGTTGAACTTCATCTGCACTGAGTTATTCTGATGATTTATAGCCCATGTTAGAACTTGCTCTTGAGCTGTTTGTGATGTTGCTTGTTTATCACCTGTTATGACCCATCAATAAGGTTCGGCTGTGAATTTTGATTCAACAAGACACCATTGTCTATATGTTTTAGCATAGTCTTTCATGCACCATCTTCACTACTGATCTTTTTATGATCTTCATGGTGCTGCACGCTGCATGCACCATGAACCGATTCATATATCGGTACTGTAATTTAGTGTTGAGGACTGCCTAATAAGATTTGTAGGAGAAAAAAACGGATGCACTAGGCTTGCCAAGTCTTTGTTTTTACTTTTTAAGATGCAAATAAACCTTTTGCATTGAAAATGAGGTTTCTTTAAAACTTGTATGCAAATATGCCATGAAAAAAAAAAAAAAAAAAAAAAAAAAAAAAAAAAAAAAAAAAAAAAAAAAAACTAATGTGCTTGTTTTATAAATAAGCATGAGCCAACTTACTCATGAGTAATTGTTGTGCACGGCCCCAAGCACTTAAATCTTGTTTAGGAGTGCGGTAATTTTTGTTCATAGATGCTTTAAAATTCATTAAATTAATGTTTTGTTAAAAATCATTAAAATAATATTTTGTTTTTAGTACTGTTCAATATTTTGATGTAAAAAAAAATTGATGTATTTTGAAGTGAAAAACACTTTTAAAAAAGATATTCTGGACCATAATTGTAAACATGCATTAAGTAATTTGGTTGCCCACCCTTTTACATAGAATTGAATTTTATATTTTTTACATTGCAACTATTTTTTTGGCGCAAAAGGATACAAAAAAAAAAAAGATTTATAAGACCGATATTATATTTCTAATGAATCTTGACATGAACTTGGTATTGAATCCTTCCCGCATTAACAGAAGGCCCATTGGGTCTTTTAATGTGAAACTTGTTTGGGATAGGTGCCTCTATTGGAAGGTGGAAGGAGTTACTGGCAAGCCTCAGAAGTCATATCCATGTCCCGAGTCCTGTTCCTAGGGTTGAAGATGATCTCCATGTCACTTTATTGCAAGCAGCAAGCTAAATCCCACTTAATGCTAGGGCGTGGCAGTTATCAAATAATGGTATAAAACGTGATCCATCCACCAGGATTAATAGTCAAGGTTGTGTTAAACCTTCATCGCTCCTCCATTTTCTTTAAACATCCCACCAAATCATGATTTTGCCACTCTAGTGCCGATTGTTAACTTCGGATTTATAAAGCATATGATCATCAACAAGATACAAGACGTTTGCAACTTGGTTAAATATTCAAAAGGGCTGAATCCAAAAAGATATCACAAATCTGATTCAAATATTGCAAAAAACACACTACATACCATGAATTTCATATCATATCCTCCAAGTACAGTTTCGATGAAACTCAACAAGCTTGACAATATTCGAAACTAAAACAAAAACAGTAATGGATAAATTCCTCCGACGTTAAGAAATGAATGAAAGTTCCTTCCAGAAAGAAAAGATCCTATGCTGTTTCTTGCAAGAATGCTCTTCCAGGTTGACGGTTGGCCAAGGGTCCATGGCATCCAAGAAGCTGAGAGGAACACACAATCACCATCAGTTTAAATGGGAGCTCCAAAAAGGAGAGAAAAACCACTACTAACATTACAAGTGAAATATATCGTTTGGTTGAATATTGAATGTATGCAAAAATAAACTTTAATCAAAGCCTGACCTTGGCATTCACACCATCTGGCATGATCTTATTCTCAGCTTTCAACTTCAAATAATCAGTGCGATTGAACTTGGTAAAACCCCTGCACATCACCGTTAACAGACAAGGTGAGGCCACTAACTTAGGAGGAAGTAAAGAACTACCAAAATTAGAAAACACAAAACAAGCTTTGCAATAGGAGGCAAGAACACAAAACAAACACTACCACGCTTCCATAGGGAGATGGCACAGGCCTTCATTTTAACAGAATAGCAAAGCAGCAAGAAAAATCAATAGGTGTGCCACCATGAAAAAGGAAAAAGCGCAATCCTTCATGCACAACTATGATGGCAACAGGCGATGTAATAGACTGCAGGCAGACTTCAACAGTCTGAATAAAAGAAAGAAATTGCATACCACTTCCTGCTGACAATAATCTTTTGGCGACCAGGGAACTTGAATTCTGCACGGCGCAGAGCCTCCTGAGCATGGTGACTGTTGCTGTCCTTGCAACGAACAGAAAGAAGAACCTGTCCAATAGCAACTCTAGCACAAGTGCCCTGTGGTTTACCAAAAGCACCTCTCATACCAGTTTGGAGCCTATCAGCTCCAGCACATGAAAGCATCTTGTTGATTCGCAGGACATGGAAAGGATGAACCCTGACTCTCAAATGGAAAGCATCTTTTCCAGCAAACTTGGCCATGTATTTGTTGCAAGCAATACGTGCTGCTTCAAGAGCTTCACTGGAGACATTCTCCTTCTCCCAGGACACCAAGTGCACACAGAATGGAAACTCATCAACTCCTTTCCTTTTCATCCCAACATCATAAATCCTAATCTTAGAGTCAGGCACACCACGGCAGTATCGTGATTTTGGGTATGGTTTATTCTTGATCTGGCGGTAACACCTTGCAGGTCCTGCAAAATGGGAAAAAGAAGCAAATAAACTAGAGCAGCTTAGCAGCAGAAAACACTTCTTTTAAAAATCCCGTCACATAACAAAAATCAACCCCTAAAAAGTAAGACAGGGACATAGTCAATGGAGCATATTGCATGAATATGCACCAGAGAAAAGAAAGTTTTCAACAAACAAAAGGCCCCTGTAATTCAAAACTGCATAGAATTTAATAAACTAATTGTTCCAACCACACCAACAATAAAAAAAGAACATCACTTAGGTACACAAACAATCAAAATCGTTTCAAAATTAAGATCTAGATTAACTACAAAAGCCCTAGAATAAAAATAGAAGTACTCTCATCCTATTTTAATTTTCTTCATCAAAGGCATCCATCTCTTGGACATAATGTTAACCATATCCATAGCATCACAAACTTAGCCATATCCATCTTCAAATACCAGCATTCAGAAATCTAGCAATCATTTACAGTCCATAAAAAATGATTAAAAAAAGAAGCTGATATCATTCGATATTCCCACAATAGATAAAGACGACTCTAAATCAACCAAAAGCAAAGAAAACTCAATAATCTTCTATTCATACAAAAATCCATTCATATTTATGATAGCAAAAACCAAAATTTTAGAAGATTTACATTGATTACTAATTAAACAAGGAAAAAAAAGACAAACATCATAAAAATTCAGATTGGGAATTGGAGAGAGAGAGAGAGAGAGAGAGAGAGAGAGAGAGGCTTACTTCTACCCATGGCGACTTCTGTGCGGTGGATCGGCGGCAGAGACCCTAGAGATAAAAAATGAAGGGGGTGATAAAGAGAGGCTTTTCATTTATAGAGAGGGGTGGGGTGAGGAGAAAAGGCCGCACAAAACCCTAACACGTTTTGGGCTTGCATACGTGTGTGGTTGCGTCAGATTGGGCTGGAGGTGGTCCAATTTTGTTAGCCTACCACTTCTTCAATGTCGGTTTCTTTTTAAGGGTTTCATCGGGTGACATGATGCACTGCATTGCACGAATATTAATGCTTTTAAAATATTTTTTATTTAAAAATATATTAAAATAATATTTTTGATATTATTATATTTAAATAATTTAAAAACACCAAAAAATTTAATTTAAAATTAAAAAAACCATAAAATAAATAAAACCTAAGTGTATATTTGATATTATAATATGATTTAAAAACTACATAAATTATAATTTTTTTAACCAAGATTTTAAGAGAATTTTGAGAAGAACGTGTATGAAAATATAATAAGCATTGATTAACTAAACATTCTCAGAATCACAAAACCAAGGAGAAAATGGAAGTATACAAATGGATTTCACTGTGATATCACTATTGTTTCATTACATGTCAGTCAAAAATATTTCGGCATTGTAATGCATCTCTATTGCCATTGCTCTACCTAGTATGTTTACAAAAAAAAAAAATCTACGAAGACTGCACAGAAAACTGAACAGAAAGTTGTTGATAGATGACTCCCCACACAATCTTTCAAGCACACTGCTGTAGCAACCGAAGAACTGGTTTCCCATTTTGTGCCTTTCATTTATCTTGGAGTGATGGTAGGAACGGCTCCGCTAACAAGGTCGCTGCCAGACACTTCTGATGACACCCAAGGGTTCATCATCATAGAGGATGAAGAGGGTGGAGTCATTTCCTTTCCGTTGTCGGTGCTGATTGTATCTGTTGTTGTAGTGTCAGATTCTGACATCATATGCCATATGCCTTCAAGTTCTCGGACCACATCAGCCATTGATGGTCTCGCATTTGTCTCCTCGTTGCAACATTTCATGGCCAAAGTCAAGAACTTGTCAATGCAGTCGGAAGGATAAGAACCCATTCGTTCATCGATAACCGAGAAGATCATACCCGATTGATACGCGACTTTAACCTGTTGCCAGAGATTTTGAGATTCATAAAATTGAACTGACAATGACAATGCTCTACCCTCATGACATGGACGTGGGGAATAAATGCCGAAGTTCATTTGCATGAGACTTGGCGTTGGGATTGGTGGTGCTGATAGTGCAGGATCTACAAATCAATGTTTTCACCGATAGAAGAGTAGGAAATTATAAACTTAAAAGCATTACCTCTCGAACAATGTTTTTGCCATGTGAGATTGGCTGCTTCCCTGTCAACAGCTCCAGAAACACTACACCGAGGCTATAAACATCACTCTTGTCCGTCAATTTATGAGTTAGAAAATACTCCGGATCAAGGTAACCCTGCAAAGATTACACCATTTTAAAAGGGAAGGAATGTCAGGAATCCATTGAGTCCCATTTTCTATTTCTACTTCGAATTTCATCATCCTACAGAAAGATAGTATTTGAATGTAATAGACTTACTGGAGTGCCCTTCACAACCGTGGATATATGATCTGGCACACTCCCTTCGATATCTGGAACCGGGGCAAGTCTTGAAAGTCCGAAATCAGCAACTTTGGCATCATACCTGGAGTCCACTAATATGTTGCTGGCCTTGATATCTCGATGAAATATCGGAGGATCAGCTTCTGTATGCAAGTAGAGGATGCCCTTAGCTGAAGTCATGGCAATTTTCAATCTTGTCGCAAAACTCAAGGGTTCTTTTCCCTTCACTGAGATACCAAATCCACATGCATGATCCATGAAATGAAACCCGTGGAATAAGCACATAGAAATTTGAAGTCGAAATCCGAAATTAATCTTTCTTTAGGATAGAAGAATGGAAGTCTATAGGGAAAAATGTGAGATCTACCTGATAGATGATCTCTAAGTGTGCCATTCGGCATGAACTCATAAACCAACATCTGCATGCACGAAAGGAACAGATAATACAGCTTTTTCCCAAATGATACTGGAAATGATAAATTCCCTTGAGTTGCTTCCCAAGGATGAGAAGCAAGCAGTTTAATGCTGGTCAAGCTAAAATTAGGAATGATAGACTTTACTAAACATCTCAAGTTTAAAAGAATACAAAGAGTACCTGTTCTCCTTGCTCGTCACAATATCCAAGCAAAGATACAAGGTTCCGATGATGTAACCTTGACAACAACTCTATTTCTGTTAAGAACTCTTTCTCGCCCTGTAAAGATCCCTCTTCAGTCCGTTTTATAGCCACAGTTCTGCCATCAGCAAGGATCCCTTTATAAACTTTTCCATAACCCCCTTGACCAACTTGACTGGAGCTATTGAAATTGTTTGTAGCCATGGCCATTTCAGCATAAGAAAAATCCCTTACACCTTCAATTTTCAAGGAGGCTTTGGATTCTGTGCCCAAATACCGGAGCATGTTAAGAATGAAACTGTTTATATAGACTTTAATAAATATCTCAGAAAATTCTCGAAACAAAATGTGACTCTTTTTTTTTTTTTTTGGAAGACTTCACAATGCATATATAATTGAAGTTAGGAGGATTTACAGGGTTGACACATCATACGAGACAAAACACCACATGAAAAGATAATATATTTGAATCATTCTAATCGTGGAATGGAAAGGCACTCACGGCGACGTCTTTTTGATATTGCTGCGTAGTCCCTCAAACGCCTTCTCAAGATAAGAAGTGAAACAACTGCAGATAATGTAACTGCGCCAGCAATGGCTCCCAATACTATGCCAACCAGAGCACCCGTGCTTATTTTATTAGATTTCTGAGAGGTGACAATCACTGCGATATAGCAACAGCAATGAAGATTAGGATATCAAAACTTGGTAACACTTCCATCACATTCTAGGTTAGAATACTTCACAACTTATTTAATTAGGATAGGCATTAATTAATTTCTATATAACAATGATAGGTTAAAGAAACAAACCATCTCTGTAAGGATCCAACAAAGTGATGTAGAGAAGTTCATAAGGTCCGAATATTTCACTGTCCGGAATTTTCCACCCAGTGAACATGCTAATGATGCGCCGAGCCTCACTTATATTAAAGATATGGGAACTGGTTCCATTAACATAGTCAGGGAAAAGCTTCAAATGCATTTTTAATCGAGGTCCGCTTTCCCATACAATTGAAGCAAGGTCTAGCTGATAGAGACTCAATTCGAGACCAGAGGTCAAATAATTCTCAAATCTAATTCTGTAAGGAATAAAATTTGAGAAGCCCGGACTTTTTAGTCGATATCCAAAGATCAAAGGGGCAGCACAGAAACATGATGTTGGGGATGTTGGGGAATATTCGTAAGGGGGTGGACATGATTGAGTAAAACAGGTAGCATTAGATTCTGTTGAACTCTGATTGTTCGTATCGCTGTTCCGAGATTCACAAAATTGGACTATGCTGGAATTTGAGCACGCAGGATTTCCTTTAAGCCTGAAAATTATATATAAAAAGCATCAACAAATGATTTCCTGAAAGTTACATACTTGTCTCAGAAGGTAGGACAAGAGTGAACTTCACATCATGTATATGCAGACATGATGTACTAATGTAGCATCGCTAGTGCAGAAGAATACCACAGCGTGACATTCTGAGGGAGACTGATACTGCCAGAAATATTTGAAAGTGTATTGTTTTCGAAGTCCCTGCAACATCAAAGAGCCAAAAACTGTTGATTAGTGACACAAGTACCATGCTAAAAAACCAGCCTCCTGAAAGCATGCGCCATCAATATTGGGGTATGCTGACATCAGCACATGACATCGATCTTTTATAATAGAAATCAAGATTAGAAGTGTTCTTCAGAGTATCATAACATATCAGGAAAGCATTTTAATTACATTCTATCCCACATATAAGCAAACTTCTATGAGAAAAAAAAATTGTTCATTGTCAATTCAGTTCTTACAAGTCAAGTCCTTCAGTCCCGTTGGCCCTAGTTTGCCAGATTGTGGAGGGAACAGAGCCACTCAATGAATTGTTTGCAACTGACCTGCCAAAGAATAGGATCAAGTCAAACATTTAATTTATTATCCATCACCTTCTTTTTGGACCTATATAAGCTTAATCAGTAACATCAAAATCTTACAGCTTCTATAGTAACACAAGCTATAATATCATTCTTAAGAAATGAGAAACTGATGAGCAAGAACAAAAGAGCAAGTGCAAAAATGCTCACAGTTGCTGAAGTAGAGGAAGTTCTGAAAAGTTGGCAGGAATAGTCCCGTTAAGATTGTTGTAGGATAAATCGCTGCGAAAAAAGAAATGAACATCAACAACCAAAAAATCATTGCTGTCCAAATTTAAAATCCTTCAGGCACTTTAGAGATTCATCTGTCAGATCGTGAAACATTTGCGATGTAGAGAAACCTTACATGGTTGTAATATTCTCAGAAAGCTTATTTGTAGGTATGGGTCCAGCTAGCTGGTTGAAACTGAGGTCTCTGAGAAATCACATCAAAAATTATAAGTGGTAAAGTTCAAATGAAAGATCAAAAATTATAAGTGGTAAAGTTCAAAAAAGGCCCGCAGAGTTATCCAGGAAAGAAAGAAACAGTAATTATCCAGTCAGGTGAAAGCCACAGATAGCAAACAAATGAACTTACAGATAGCCAAGATTTGGTATCCCACTCAGGTCAGGCATTGGACCTTGCAAGCTACAGTTCCTCAGACTCCTGATAAAGGCCAATCAAGGCACATGCAGATATCACATTAAAAAACTTGTGCAGATTTTGAAGCATGGATTACTACATTGCAATTATGAAACGAGAAATAACACCAAGGTTTTAACAACGTGGAAGGTTTGTGAAATCTGGACTATTTGACACGGCAGATTTCTGCATTGCAGCAAGCATAGATTATCTATGGCGAGATGACACAATAAGTAGCAAGAAAATGATAGTATAAAATATCATAGAAATAATTGAAGACTCCATATTTCGTAGGGGCAATAAAATGCAGTGATAAAGACTCAAA